ATCTACGGAGAGCAGCCAGAGTTAATAATGCAAATCCAGAATGGATCTTCTTTGGAACTCAGTCCCACTTAGCATTGTATCATATGCAAATTTGGAAATATAACATTTGGTCCCTAATTCCAAATCATTGGAAATATTGTGAACACCTTTGGCTCCAGTACTGATATTTGCGGTACCCCTATTAGACACAGCCTGCTACAGTGAAAAGGATCCATTTATTTTCACTTGCTGTTTTCTGGCTGTTAGCCAATTATGAATTCATCCAGCACATTACCTTCTATCCCACACGCTTAACATTTTACAACCAACCACCCCACTGTTGGGGACTTAATCAAAGGGCTTCTGAAAAGCAAGTAATCTAGCTGCATAGACTGGTGTTTATCAACTTTTTTGTAACATCTTCAAAAAATCTCCCATTCATCAAACCGAATTTTTGATTTGTCAGTGCATGCTGGCTATGTCCAATCACATCATTATCAGCCTGATATATATTAGTCTGTCAGTATTAGTTCATGATGAGGGCATCACTGGCCAGCCCAGCATTCATCAGCTATCCCTAACTGCAAGCGTCAACCATATTGCTGTGCTATGGAGTCACTTGGATGCCTGACCAGGTAAAGATGGCAGTTTCCTTCCCTTAAAGGACATTAATGATCCAAATGGGTTTTTCCTCGCACATGACAATGGACTCATAGTTATCATTAGACTGTTAATTCAGGATTTCCCTTCACCTCTCAAATGCCACCAACTGTGGTGGTAGGATTTGAATCTGGGTCCCTGGAACACGAGTTGGGTCTGTGGATTAACAGCCCAATGATAGCACCACTAGGCCATGGCCTCCTGTGATTTATAATGGACACTAGCATAGTTCACAGCCACAGGAAGAGGATGATAGTCCTACTCAAGCAGTTCATTGCTATAGAAGTGTTAAAAGTTGTGTCAAGTACATGACGCAAGTTAAGTTCAAATTCTTAAATTTGTATTGAAATTTCAGATCTGATTTTGGTGTGCAAAGGGACTTCACCATTCAGTCATTGCCTTTCAATGTATGTTTGCAGCAATTAAGTCAAGTATATGTTCTATACATAGTTCCATGTTAATAAACACTGGGAAGTGCTTGTTTGTGTCACGTGTTACAGCGACTGCGTGGAACATTGCACAGAAATTTTGTGTATGTAAAAATTCAAGCAGCATATTTAGTATTTGAGCAAAATTGCTGTTCCCAAGACCAAGGTCAATTTTGTTTTTAATTTGACATTTAGGCTACATTTGTTGTGGTTCTGTTGGGATGATGAAAGAAATTTTGGCCTAGGTAATATCGCCCAGACTTGTTGGCGAATAATATTCAAGAAATGTATCTAGTTTTAATCCGGTCTCTGATTTTGCAACAACATGGTGAGCAGATTTGTGTGGATTATGATTCTGAACCAGGAGGGGTGCTTTTCATTAGTGTGTGAGATTCAGCTTTTACAAACAATCTCTGCTGATGATGGATTTCTCTCTGCACTTAAAAATAGCAGTGGGGTGTGGTTGTCATGAAGGTTGGCTGTTGGTGGAGGTCATAAGTATTTCAGTTTGCTAATCTCTTTCTTTTTTTTTTCCTCAAAATTTAATCTAAAATCTGAGTTGGGGGACGAGTACCTTTTTGGTATTAATCAGTTTGAGTTAGCAGATTGCTTGATACATTCATGTCCTGAAATGTTGTACAGGAATGAGGTTTCAGACTTGTAAGAAATACCTTTGTGATGACCAGGATCTCAGAAACATTGTAAGGTTTGTGTCTTGACTTAACTCTTGGTTACTATATTGTTCACTGAAACTGGTTTACAATCAGTGTGGTTGGATTCTGAATGCTGCAGGAATTAGAATGTAAAGCTGTGCTTGTAATATTGAGCTGCGAATGATCCGCTTTGAGCATGAATCTGAAGAGAGATTGCAATTCTGAAGAGCTGTGCAAATGCAATGATACGTCCCATGGTGCCTCAAGTTCAAGAGCTGTAAAGAATGATGCACCTTCTGCCAGTCTTAATTGACATCGCAGCAGAACGGACCTGAGAATCAGAATAGTTCAAAATGAGTTGCCAATTGTTGTCTGATAATAGGTGCACCCAAATGGGTGGCTCAAGTAGCAGTGACCTACATGATTAGTTTGTTTACTTTAATAGATATCTTAGATTTTTAAAAATGCAATACTATTATTCTTTGAAGACCTGAACTTGTAGGTGCTTTTTTTTTTGGCCTTCCATACGGAAAAACAATTTACAGGACAAGACTAGATCTGAAATGACACGTTTTCAAGTTTTTCAGGAACCAAGTGGTTTTAAACAGGCAACAGCAATCGTACGTTGATGAACTTGGATTTTGACTGTTAGGATAACCTTGCAGTGATGGGTCAGGGTAATGGACCACCGCAGTCCTGAAGAAGGGTAATACCCGAAACGTTGACTTGTCCTTTCCACCAGATGCTTGCCTGGCTTGCTGTGTTCTTCTAAGCTCCTATTTGTCTACCTTGGATTCCAGCACCTGCAGTTTTTTTCTACCGTAATCCGTTGGACAAGTTCTTTCTGAACAACTAGAAAAAGAATATGATAGAGTGCAGAATTCACATCCCACACTGCGAAGGAACTTGCTTCATAACATGTGCGGAGTTGCCAGGGGCTACCATCTGCTGTGTGACATATGTTTAGTTATCAAGGACTCTTGCATTATCTGGAAACTGAAAAGTTTGTCGGTGCCTTGTATTGAAATAGGATAGTTTTCAAAGTATTCACTCCAAAGCTAGCTGAAGCCAAGGTGAAAATACCAAGGTAGAATTTGTTTGCAAGAAATGTTCTATGTCTTGGTTTCATTTTTGGATGAGGGCAGCATTGATAATTAGTTCAGATACCAGAAGGAAATTGGAGTAGTTTGAGGTCTTCATCGGCTTCCCAAACACTTTAGAGGAATGAAACTCGGAATTAGCTGTGTGTCAGCGATATATTTGTGGGAATGTGTGGAAACAAGTTGATGTGCTATTCTTAGACCTGAAGATCAGCAGCAAAAAGGTGAATATCGGGATGAAAAGTACTTTGAAAGCTGAGTTCACTGTTTTCAGTTGTCATGGTTGCTCCTTAGTTCTTTATAAGCCCAAATGATGATAATGAAGGGGTGAGAATTGTTGATTTCCCCTATGAGTGGAGGTATTTCCTCTGATCTGACAGAAAAATGATTGAGCTGTGTTACGTAATAACAAAAATAGTTTAAGTGGGTGGCATTAGCTGTGGGTAGTGACATTTGATTTAATTTTGCTGCAGATGAGATTCTGTCTTTTGAAGGTTTCTTTGTCTGAGTTCTTGGGTTACCTGGCAATGCCTCCGCTGGTGTTAACAAATGTCTGCTTCAAATTCTGGTCTTGGGTATTGGGATTCAACACTCTTTCGAAGAAGTCATACTACAGTTGAAAAGTTAAGTCTGTTTCTTTCTCTCAGAGATGCTGCCAGACATAGAGAATCGAGGAAACTCCATCAGTATGGACGAATTGTGCCGAAAGGCTTGTTCTGTGCTATATAACTCTGACTTGGATGACGAACTTGCTTGGATTGAATACTGACTGTATCCCCTATTACATAATGCAAGATGGGCAGGAAAAGATTCAAGGCTCAGGATGGACAGGGAATTGCTGTGCTTGCTTTCGGCCCTGTCGCAAGGTCAAACAACATATTTTGTGCTTCATCCGTACACTTGCCTAGGATTTTGCTTCTGCTTCCTTGCAGTTTGATCTCTGCATTTGATACCTGAACATGCGTGTTTACCAGTATAAATCTGAATGATAAGTTACAAGGTGATGGAAAAGTCTCAATCTGTCCATTGTTAAAATTAATGCGAATGTAATGGATGCTTCTGAAGGGCCCAAGCCTTTTTTAGCACTTGAAGCTGTCATATGTAACTGGAAAGCTTGCCTAGATTCCGATTGAGACTCCTTCTTTGTCTCCATTTGCCTGATGATGGCGTTTTACTTTGTGTACAAGTGTGCTGAAGTCATTCTTTTTGTGTCTTTGGCTTGGAGTCCTGACACAGTGCAGCTGAAAAATTAAATCTGTTGTTTGTATGTCCTGTGATGTTCCAGAAAGTGATTGCGTTCCGGTAGTGATTGTCATAAGGTCTCCAAGTCTGGAAGTGTTTCACAATTTGATGCTGTATTTCTGAAATTTAGGTCCTTGTGTTAATATGGCTAAGATGAAAGTTGTGTGTGGCAAAGCCCCTCAAATACACTTGAAAAATCTGATAGAGCAATCGTTGGTTCAAGGATACTTTCTAGGTACAATTGAAGATACTTGGAAGATCCTGAAGCACTGTTTCATGTTTACCTTTTTGTAAAAAAAAATACAGACTGGTCCTTGGCTGATAATTTCCCCGTTTGATGACTATCTCAATGGAACGTTTTGTGACACACAACTCCAATGTAGTGTTGAATTTATGACCTTCTGAGGCAAAATTCAATGACAGAGCCAAGATTGAAACAAAAGGTCTGTTGATTGGAGTTTATTTGGAGTTGATGACACCCTTTTCTATAAAAAGATCTTCAGTATGTGGAAGATCTGAAGTGCAAGTTGGTCTGTGTTTGTGACAGCTATGCACTACTCCCTGTGCCTTGAAAAGATAACCTGAGAATGACTCAAATTAGATTGTCAGTTAGGGTATTGCACATTATATGTATTGTTATATTGTAAACACAGTAATAATGGTATTCCAAACAAATATAGGTGGAACTATGTTTATGTCTCCTTCAATAAATCAAGATCACGGGTTCCAAACAAAATCATGCTGAAGATTTGCAGAACAAGGTTACGGACAAGTGTGTTTCAGAGCGTCATTTTTTTGATGTGACGTGTTTGTCGAAACTACATTTATTTGTGTTGTATGGTACTCGAATGGAGAAACAATTTTCATGCATTTTGTTTTGCTGAAGTTGAAATAACTGCTTTGATTCCAATGAGTTTTAAATTTTTTGTTCTTCACAGCTGATATTATTTCCACGGTAGAATTCAACCACTCTGGAGAACTACTCGCAACTGGGGACAAGGGGGGTAGAGTTGTCATATTCCAGCAGGAGCAAGAGGTGAGTGTTATCTCTGCCGTACATATGCAAGTGTTGTGGACTTGTGTGCATTTTGCTGGTGTCAGACGGGCTCTAGTGGAGTATTGGTAACAACCCAGTGATCCAGTATTGTTACCCTGCTTATTTTGGTATGTTGGGAACAATACACAGGAGGGAAAATTATGTTTAGATTAAGCATAGATTAAGTGTTAGACCAGGGTTTTATGTTCTGCATGTCACTTGCCATGCTCAATTCATCTAGGACCGATAACTTGTGGAAGCTTTTCTTGCTTGTGTACCTACCTTGTTTACCCTACATGCATGGATGTTAACCACGACCAACTCCTCCATGTGTCACTGCCTTCCACCTTGTCAGCACTCTGATGAAAGAGATCACTTCTGAAATCCAAATTCTGAATTTGTCTGGCTCCATTGAACTTGATAAATAGAGAGACCCTGATTAGATCACCACAAGTTCTTTGATCGAGAGGGAAGTGCCTTAAGTTGTTCAAGCCTTCCGAAAAGCACTGTTATTTTAATTCCCGGATTATCCTTATGAATGTTTTTGGACTAAATTAATTGCTGTTACATCTTGGCAATATCAAGAGCAGGTGTATGTTAAGTGTGGCCTGAGCAAGATTCTGTGCAAGTTAAATGTACGTTGTACCTTTTAGACTGGAAATAAACCACCATGGTCTGTTCCTGTTACTGTGATTTGAAGCTGGTTGCTTTTTTTTTTGCTCATCTATCAATTTGTAGTGGGCTAATGTTGTCTTTAAGTTTTTGTTTTGTTTATCTTGCCTCATTCCCTCCCACCTCATTAGGTGTTTCCAAATTATTACTTGCTTCCTTGTCTTGCATTGGGTCATTTTCAATGATAGCTATCTTGCTGAATGCCAACAATTGACTTCTCTGCTCTAGTTTGCCTGCCATCACTAGTTACAGTCAGGACTTCCTCCTTGTGCTTCTTGTATATTGCTAAGAAAGGTAAAACTGTATATCCTGTAGAACTGGTTTGTGCTTCCCAAGTTTGTTTTTGCTTGACCAGTTTACTGGCAGATGACAAAATTGTCCAACATTATTTCCCTCGGTATTTCATCCATATTGATTCACCTGGAAAAGTAAATTGTGAAGGCTAATTTCCAACATGTTCCATGCAATTTCACCCGATTGTTTCAACAAAATTGGAAGTTAATTTTGTCCTCATGAGTGGGTGTGAAACTGAAGTGATAATGAGAGTGCATCCACAGATGGAACTGCTGTACTTGTCTCATCTATGGATTTTTTTTTTCACCCAAATGTCATGCAGTTTGTATCACTGCGCAAGTGAAACATGTTTTGTACGTGCAAATGAGTGGTAATCTCATTAGCTACACTATTATTTAGTCTCCTCTCCCTTTAATTGGAAATAAAGTTGAGCTGTTGAATTGCTTCATTTGTCTGTGTTGTAAAAGGAATTTATGTTGCTGTTCCCATGTTTCTTGATGTGTTGATTGCAATGTATCTGGATCCAGATGGACCCTACATTAATCATGTTTGGCAAGGGGCAGTTAAATTCAAGTTGTGAATTAGGAGATGTCAGACAAATGAATGGAAATAGAATCATTCGTGTCCCCACTGACCACCGCGCTTTGCTTTTGGAAGTACAAAAAGCTACTTGTTGCAAATCTTGGTACGGCAGTGTATGAGTGATGATGTAAGCATGTAAATTCTTAGTTCACTAAGTGGAGCTTCAATTTGTTTATTGTTCAGCTCTTGTGTCAGACTATGCCAGGAGGCAGCAGGATAGTTCTAATGTTTCATGCTGCTTGGAAGTCTCTAATACCTCCAAAGTGGCATTGTGAACACAGGACATGTTTTCACACGTGTGAAGTGTGCATAGATTGGATTTAGAATCAGAGTTCTATTTCCTAATGTAGGACAGAAAAAAAAGTTCTGATCAGAGTCTCAGTAGGACTGCTGATAACTTTCACTTGATGTTGAAGCGCTTTTTTTTCAGCTAATGAAAACTCTTGGCTGTTCTGTGAACGCGTATCAAAAATGACACGTAGAATTTCACAGTAGCACTGCAGTACATGGTTTTTTTTTGCGAAGAAGTGTTGTTCAGGATAGCCTGTTGATCATTCAGCTGTACTGTGAGATCCAAAACCACCTGAATCACAGGTGCTGTGAATATCTGTTGGCAAATCGAGCGTAGAAGAGCTCCCAACAAAATCAAACCAATTTCTGTAACCAATTATTTTGTATGATTTTCCCATCCTAGTTGCTTCAAATCGTAGTTTGAATAATATTGTTGTCATTCTGTTATTTGTTTCAGAACAAAAGTCAGCCTCATTGCAGAGGTGAATATAATGTTTACAGTACGTTTCAGAGCCATGAGCCTGAGTTCGACTATTTGAAAAGTTTAGAAATTGAGGAAAAGATCAATAAAATAAGATGGTTACCCCAACAAAATGCTGCACAGTTCCTGCTCTCGACAAATGGTAAGTTCATTGTTTGCCGGTTTTTCATCCTTTTATTTTTGAATGATTGCACAAGCATTGCTGTTCTACAATTTTTGGTCAGTAAATGAACTCTGTCACCTTCCCTGCACTGCACTGAATCCTCTGCTACTATGCACTACCATCCCACCTCCACTGCTGCCAGGTCACCCCTGCAGATTGTGACTCCTTGGAATACGTTGGCAAAACCATCTGCAAAATGATGCAATTGTTCAACAGGCTTCTGAAATGTATAATGTAGCCAGTTTATTAAAATTGTTGCAGGTATCTCTTAAAGTCTGGCATAAGGTACAAACGTATTTAACAATGCATCAAAAAAAATACAGTTGTTGAACTTTGTTGAATTTAGAAATATCTGTCCACACAATTCCACATCATTAATCTGAACAGTTTGATGTTTATCAAAAAGACGTTTACTTTGTGAATTTCGTCTTTGATGTTTATCAAAAAGATGTTTACTTTGTGAATTTCATCAGTCATTGGAAATGTTATTTGTTTCTTAGTGCTAAGTTAGTCTACAATGTTGCACCTGAATTTTAACCTGGTTTGATATACACTTCACCACAGCTTGAGTAACTTCATTGATTTTAAAGAATCGTCAACTCTTTATCCCATAAAGTGTTCCAAAAAAATTAAAAACATCATATGAATTTAACCACCCGAGGGAAGAAGGGGCATAAACAATCTATTTCCTGGGAGAGAGAAAATAATTCCTCTATAGCCTGCTGCCTCATGACAGATGGGCAATTCAGTTTGCCTGTGTGAGTAATATCCTGCAGTAAGTGGGTTAATGGTAGAAAAAGCATTGTTTTTAAACAGATAGCTAACCCCAATTGTAACAAGGATGAGGCAGGACTTGAGGTTGCCAGAACTCTAATAAATGTAGAGGATGAAAGAACCGATTGAATCGTCAATAATGCCACACCACAAACTTCACTGAGAGAAAATTGTAAATTAATCTAACAGCAAAACAAGTCAACAGCAGAACTTGGTACAGCAAGTTATCCAATTAGAAGAAGAATCTTGGGTGATACTGTAGAACAGAGAGATCTAGGGGTTCCAGTACGTAATTCTTGGAACTTTGCATCACATGTAGATAGGGTGGTTAAGAAGGCATTTAGCATGCTTGCCTTCATTGCTCAGACCATTGAGTATAGGAATTGGGACGTTATGTTGAGGTTATACAGAACATTGGTGAGGCCTCTTCTCGTGTACGTTGTGCAGTTCTGGTTGTCCTGTTAAAGGAAGGAAATTAATAAGGTGAAGAAGGTTCAGAGGAGATTTACCAGAATGTCGTCGGGAATGGTGGGTTTGAGTTATCCAGGGAGTCTCGGTAGGTTGGGACTTGTGAGCACAGGAGTTTGAGGAGTAACCGTAGACAGGTTTACAAAATCATGAGATCATAAAATCATGATGGCAAGTGCCTTTTCCTGAGGATGGAGGAATTTCAAGTCTGGGGACATATTTTTAAGGTGAGAGGGCAAAGAATTACAAAAGACATGAGGGACAATTTTTTTTACATGGGTACGTGTGCGGAATGAACTTTGCGAGGAAGTGGTGGATGCAGGTAGTGTTACTGTGTTTAAAAGACATCTGGTAAGTATATGAATAAGAAATGTTTGGAGAGAAATGGGCCAAGCACGGGCAGGTGGGACTATTTGGACTGATTGTAGTATCCGTTAATGTCATTTGAGGAATCAGTCAGGCACTGTCCTGTTGCACTTCATGAAGTTGGCTCTGGACAAGTCTTTGTTGCAGCTCAGACACCTATTGAGTTGCTGAGGAAGGTGTAGTTGTAAGCTGTGAAGTAGTTCACTTCACGTTGTAAAAACAGCTTTCTTTTCAGAATCGGACTTTGTTCGTATTAACTTCAGCTTATAGGTGCCTAATGTTTGCGTGTTGCGAACAACAGTAAAGCTGTTTCATTAAAGCCAATTGAAACAAATGACGTCCAGTCATGTCACTGAGGCTTTGGTTTAAGGCAAGCAGATAATGAGGTGGTTTTATGTTTCTTCTCAGAATGCAGTGTGTTTTGTCGTTAACAGTGGAGCCATTTGCATCCTGTCAAGCCACATGGGTTTCGACGGTCTTATTCATTCCATAGTGGCTGAGATAGACATCTCTCCTGATGCTTTGTGTTGGCTAGACTGTAATGTTCATACAGTGCAAGGAACAATGAAATTGCTTTGGCTCTGCTAATTGCTGGAAGCAATCAACTTGCACATTCTGTGTTCTATTGCAGCCATTTTAAAATATCACAATAGTTCATTCTAAGAAAAGAATTTAAATAAGTTTATCAAATAATTTAGGATGTCCATCTTGCTGTATGGGCTTCATGCCACCAATGATTTAATTTGTGCACTTGCCCAAAAAATAAGCAGACTGATTTTCACAAATGGATAAATGTTAAAATATCCCACTTTGATTTTGAGTCAACCAAACATAAGTCACTTGGGCACTTTGTGATGGAATTCAACTTTGTTTTCTAGACAAAACAATAAAGTTGTGGAAAATTAGTGAAAGAGACAAACGGCCAGAGGGTTATAACTTGAAAGAAGAGGATGGTAGATACAGGGACCCTGCCACAGTCACTACACTTAAGGTGAGCACTGTACAAACTGTATTTTGAGTTTTAACAAATGTATTTTGCACACAACAAGAATCATATGCATGTTGTGCTTGTGATAAAGATGGGTGAGGTTCAAACTAAATAATGGCCTTTCTTTTGAGAGAAAGCAAACGTTCATACCGTTGATCTGGAAACCCATAAGTCAATCATGTGCAATTTGTTACTAATCAGTAAAACCAGTCGCTCCTGTCACAGGCAGTCAGAACACTAAAAACTTTAAATTTTAGCATGTCTTTACTCCAGCTTAAAAAAGAAATCCATTATGTTCTGCAGGTTTTTGATGTTCTGATAGCTCACAGTCAAAAAGCACTTCTCTGTTGTCTATATGTGGTGCTTTTGAGAATTGCCTCATGGTTTGTTTTTGGATTTGTAGTTGTCTGTATTTAGAGTTTCATTCTCACTTCGTTTTTTGTAGTTCACTTTACAGAAAGAGGCAGACCCTAGTTTCTGAACCAATTTTTCATTTGTGCAGTTCAAAACTGCCCTGTCCCCTATGTTTATCCACTGTCTTAGGTCAGTGATGCCTGTGACAAATGATTCCACACCTGAGTGGTTAATTGTGTACAGAAAGTGTGAGATTGTAAACAAATGACCTTTCACTCGTAGTTCACCAAAAGTAGGATTTCCTTCCCCCCTCTTTTTTTTTTTGTAGAAGGCCTTCATAATCTAAAACCAGATTTCTGATGTGGCCAGTATTTGTTTACTTTTATGTTGCTGATACTTATTTGAAAAGTTATCTGATGGAAGACCTTGGCTGTTTTTCCTCCTCGAATAAAAGTTGGAGAAGAATTGCTTTAGAGTAACATGTCTTGCTCATTTCTGTCTGTTTCCTTATTGGTCAGAGTTTAACATTTGTTTCTGCTCTTTTAGGTTCCCGTATTCAAACCAATGGATTTAATGGTTGAAGCAAGCCCGCGAAGGATATTTGCTAATGCACATACATACCACATAAACTCTATTTCAGTCAATAGTGACTATGAAACTTACTTATCAGCGGATGACCTTAGGATTAACCTGTGGCATTTAGAAATCACAGACAGAAGTTTTAGTATCCTTACTAATGTGCACTTGAATTGATTTTAAATCAAGGATATTTTTGGCAGCATGAATGCAGAGCTGACCTTGTGTAAGGTACAAAGTATTGTTCTGCACCTTATTTCCAAAAATGGTTTGTATATGCAAATTGAATTGAACTGTGCAGACCATAACTGTCTTGCACTCAGTTCTAAGCTTGGTTTGAGATAGTTGATGATATGGCACTTCTACTTGGTCTGTCGGTCAGGTGGGGTGATAAGGTGGAGGGGTGGAATTCGAGAGGGGAGAATTTTCTGACTGTCCAGCCATCCCTCTGTAGGATTGTTGGTTGAGCATATTCGCTGCTGATTGAGTTTGCTACAAGTGTGCAAATAGTTATGAATGATTGTGTATGGTTGGAGAAGCACAATTGTTTTGAAACCTCGGGAATTTGATTGCAGTAGGAATTAATATTTTGAGGACAAATGAAAGAATTGTCATATGGGCAGAAAATTATAATGTTACATTTTGCTCACCCAAAAAACATTGCTCACCATCTACTTGGCTGACTTTGCCACATAACTGCAATCTACAGTTTGGTTTTTTTGAAAAATTAGTCATTATTCTGGACCTGAAACGAAGTTTTCCATTTTCTCTGCACTGGCAAAACAGTTCAGTCAAGTCAGGCAACTCATATGAGTCATAGACTGAGTACTATTGCTTTTTAGTGTAGCATATTACATAGCAGCAGCCTGCCTGATCAAGCCACAACAGGCAGAACAATGGCACATGCTGTGTGACAATGCATTTCGTTTGATAATAGAGTCAATTGTAGTCATTGCGGAGTGATCTATTTGTGGGTGTTGACTTGAAGGTTGAGCTCTGAAGGATGAATAACAATACAAGTCGACATGTCTTGGGATGGACAGCCACTGAATGAGTCAGGCTTTTGTGAATACAGGGCAATGTCAGTTTCAGAAATGTAGTTGGAAGGAAGTTTACTACTTGTGCCTCGATAAGACTTGATTATCGCGGTAGCAGGCCATGAAATTAAGCTGCACCCAGTTGACGAAGGCTATCCTTTTGTTCTGCTTGGTGTTTTACATTGAGAAGAGAGGTCAGCCTTCACAGACAAACATTTGAAACTCAAATGTGTTTAGTTGGAAATGTAAATGCCTGTCACTTCAGATGTGAATTCTTAATGGATGTTAGTGACAGCTGGAAAGGAGCAAGTCTGCAGCAACGAATGCAAAGGGATTGAAGGACATGCAAAGGTGGCTAGGATATGGTTGATGGCCTTTGGCTGAAAAATGCTTATGAATTGCCATTATGACCCATCACAGTAACAAATGTTTAACGTGAGGGCATTTTGAGCATGTTTTAATTTGCATTGAAACAGGGAATTCTTGTTTTCTGAGCTGTAATTTAAAATGCTTTAGTTGTGAGGACCTTTTCCAACCCTTCCACCAGGATCATAAGAAATAAGAGCAGGAGTAAGAGTTTGACTGCCCTTTCCCTGTAATCCTTGATTCCCCAGCCCCCACAATCTGCCCCTACACCTCGATGTTGCAAGGAGCTCCCAACACTTTGAGAGAAGAATTTCCTCCTGATGTCAGTCTGAAGCTGTTTTGACTGTTTGGGAATGCCAGTATTGTCCTTGATGACCTGTATCTCAGATATTGTAGATATCAAGCCTGCCAACATGGAGGAGCTGACTGAGGTGATTACAGCAGCGGAGTTCCACCCTAATCAGTGCAACACATTTGTATACAGCAGTAGCAAAGGAACCATTCGACTGTGTGACATGCGAGCAGCTGCCTTGTGTGACAAGCATGCCAAATGTAAGTGTCCCACTCAGAACTTTATGCTTCAGTGAATTTTGTAAATACTCCATTAGCACCAATCAAAGTGAAATACTTAAATTGGAAGCCAGCAACGTCAAGCCATAATTTTTTGGTAACTAGTATTATTTAAGCAGTCAGCTTGCAAAGAACAATTGGAATCAAACTACTTGTTCATTGGCCCGACAGGCAACAAATTTGTTTTTTGCTGACAAGGGCATGGTTATTTTGTACTATTATATGACATCACTTGAGGCCTCCTTGATGGCTGTGTATAGCATATTCTGCTTGAACTTTGCTGTCCTGAGGGTCCCAAGTTTGATTTCTCCACTGCACTGTGATACAACATAGCTGGAGCTTGATGTCGTATGTTTTGTCACCTTCAGTCTTGCAATCATACCAAGCTTCACTTACTTTGTATTCCCAAACCAATTAATTTATACTTTTCTGTCATGGAAACATGGGAGTAGGCTATTCAGCCCTTGAAAGATCCTCCTGTTCAATATGATCATGGCTGATCACCCAGCTCAGACCTGTTCCTGTTTCCTTCTCATACCCTTTGATCCCTTTAACCCTAAGATGTCCCAAGTGTCAAATCGTCTTTGTCTTTGGTCTGTCCTACCTTAGCTCTATGTCCCTAGTAGAAGCTACCGACAACGGTGATGTTTTCTCTGCTCTGTGATCAATGGGGATTCATTCCACTAAAATGCCTGTAAACACTGCCATCTTGCCAACTCCCTTTCTTTTGAACAACTCCTTAAAAGTTCTTCTGTCCATTGTGTACTTGCTCCATCCCATCCTCATTCTGGATGAATTTGCTGGTTTACAGTTTTACTCCCCAAAGAAGTCCAAAATTGCTATGTACGAGTGGAGATCTGAGAGAAATCTGACTTGAAGGAAGTGCTATGCGATCTTGGGATGACTATAGGACCTTTTTTCACCTTTTTGTCTCTGTGCAGGCTCTCTTCAAGCTACTGAGTTAATGTGACATTCTCACCTTTACCATTTAGCTCTGATTTTTTTTTTGCAGGTGTATTTTAAATTCTCTTTTAAAAGCTATGATCAAATGTTTCAAGATCAAATTTGGTGCATTTCAGATTCTAACCGCTTGCTGCGTTAAAACAATTTTTTTTGCAGTTTTCCTTTTCTGTAGTTGTCTGAAATTGGTGCCCTTTGGTTCTCCATTCTTTGACCATATGACCAGTTCCACCTTGATTATTCCATACTGAACTCTCATGCTTTTGACATTTACTTGTCAAATGAAATTTTATTGTTAATTTGCGTGTTTTCAACATGATAACGTAAAAATACAATGACCGTTTCACAAATGAGAGAATGTAATTTTATTCACAGGAGTACGACGGCACACCATGTAATTATGAATGTCTGCAAATTATCTGAGATCATTCTGCGCTTTTAGCCATCAATATTGTGACCAGGGTAGATGACTTTATTTAAAAAAATGAAAAGAACCGTGAATGCTGGAAATGACAAACAAAAACAGAAATTGCTAGAAAAATTCAGCAGATCTGGCAGCATCTGTGGAGAAAAATGACAATAAATGTTTCGGTCCAGTGACCCTTATTCAGAACTGGCTTCTTGCACTGTAATTGCTTGCAAAAATAGTGTGCCTTTCAGTGCTGAAGGTAGGAGTAAGACTTGAACATAATTCTGCTGAAAAAGTAATGCTGCACATATTGTAGAAATCAGGCAAAATTCTGTTCAGTATGGACAAACGGAACAAGAATGGATGGGTTAACTCGATGTGTTTTATATCTGAACTTTTGCTTTTGATCTACAGTGTTTGAAGAACCTGAAGATCCCAGTAACAGGTCCTTTTTCTCAGAAATAATTTCTTCAATATCAGATGTCAAATTCAGTCACAGTGGTCGCTACATGATGACACGAGATTACCTATCAGTTAAAATCTGGGATTTAAATATGGAAAGCAGACCTGTGGAGACATACCAGGTACACTGGGTCCTATTGCTTCATTTCATGTGTATTTCCTGAGAGATTGTGATGTTATTTAGCAGTGCATGCTGTTAGCAGCTGTGGTTCAGTTCGTTGCCTCTTAACCAAGTTTATAACTCCAGTCCAACTCCAGGGCTTGAGGACAAAAATGGAAGTTAACACTCAAGTGAAGGACTGATAGAGTGCTGCACTGTTGGGGTTGTCATCTTTCTCATTGCATGTTAAACTGGCAAGCTACCTGTCCAAGTTAGATCGAAGAAGTCCCATAGCACAATGGCGAATAAATTCTTAGTGTCTCGCTCACTGTGCATCCCTCATCAACGTCACAAAAGAACTGATCATCTGATTACTATAACATTGTTACTTGTGTGAGTCTACTAAATACATGGCTGCTGTGTTTCTTATATTACAACAGTGACAACCATTCAAAAAGTAGTTATTTGTTTGTCACATGCTTTTGAGGTTTCCCCAGTGGTCATGAAGTGGAAATAAATGAAGACATGCTTTTATTTTGTTATCACCAAGGTGAGGATGCAACAGAAATTAAACACATCACGTACCCTGTGACAGTGTCTAACACTTGCAGGTCAGATGCACCAAAAGTTAAAAATGATTTGAGTGTATTAACAGTGCATCAGAGCACAAGTACGTGCAAAAATCATGTGATTGTTTTCCATGTATACCAACCCACCAGCTGAAACTCCTAACTGATGACACTTTCAGGCCACTTGGTTCTGCAAGCCTGATTGCAGAAGAAATAGTTCAAAGTGATTGCAGAACCTGAAAGTGAGTTGTTTAACTTCCTTTGCAAATATGTGTGCCTTCATTTCAGCATCCTCTTCATGCGAAGTGTGGGCTGACTTGTATTCACCTATCCTGCACAGAGGCACTTTTGGATGAATGGTGTTGAGCCAATTGCATTTGATTGTGCAAGTAGAATATGGCAGCTCAGCAGTTTTGTTTTTAAACTTGATGTTCAACATGTGAGTTTTGATGATTGTACTTCCTTCTGGGTGTTTTTTTAAATAATTTCGAATCTACCAGTTCGGAGATATTGTTATGCAACTCTACAGCAAGTGAGACTTGAACTAAGCCTCCTGACTCACAAGTAGGGACTCTAGCAATGCACCACCAGATCTTCCATGTTTGGATGATTGCTCAAAGCCTGAATTAGAAACGTTTGCACAGTACATTGCCTTATCAAGTTTCTTTGTATCTAAATACAGAGTATTTAACTGGAGTGCACCCCATGTTTTCCAAGGAATAGAATCCCAGAAAAATTGCAAGACCTTAATTGCACGAACTGACCACAAAGCATAGAAACAGAATTTACCCCACAAACTTGTTCAGCCATTAATTGAACTAGGCTAATTTGCATTGGTTCATCTGTGCAAGGTGCTGTTGTACTCCCCTTTTGGGTAATGAAAATCCCATTATCTTAAATTTACAATTCATACAGCATCAACTGCTATGTGTAAAAGAGAATTCCAAACTTGGATCACTGTTTCTGTGTGAGTTTCCGAATAACCTTCCCGAAGGGTCGGGTTCTAATTTTACGCAAGACGATCCAACTTTGCCCCTGTTGTTCCAGATAGTTTGAAGTCTTTACTTGCCAAGTTCTTGTAGTGATACAGCTGGTTTATGCAATCCAAAGTTAAACTGAGTCTCATAAATGCATACTGCACTCCCTTGTCCTGTATCATTGCTCATGCCTGTCTACTTTTTCTGAGTGGTGTAACCAAGGCCTCATAGAACTTGGCAACCTTAACTGAAGATGGTAGCTTCTGAACTGACTAATTCTTCTGCCCAGATGAGGATGTTACCAACTCAACCAGGTTTACTTCCAAATGCAACTTGACTTGTCCAATACGTTGAAACAATGTATAACCAAAGAATTACAAGGGTGGTGTTGGACAGATAAAACTGACAGTAACTGAGTTGAGTGTGAAGATCCCGCCTGGGTTCTGTTGTCAAGGTGTCAGATTCTTGTAAAGCTGTAGAAATATAATGTAGTACCAGCCTTGAACTCGAGTTTCAGGATGATTTTTTAATCAACGTTGGGTCCACCACTTCAGCTTTGTACATGCCTGGGATATTACTGTATCTGTTGCATCACATTGATTTTTCTTCCCTGTTTGCCTGAAACTATTTGCGTTTTTTTTCTTCATACTTACATTTGAGCAATAGGAAGTGTAGTGCAGGATTGAAATGGTGATACTGAAACAATTTGGTTTTGATGTTTTATTCATGGGTTGACAGCATCACTGGGAAGGCCAGCATCTGTTGCATACTTGTAATTCTGCTGCTGGCTTGAAGTGCTGGAGTCTCTGTGATGGTATTCCCACAAAGCACTTGTTCAGTGGTGGTCAAAGAGGCAGGAATTTTCATCAGAGACAAGTGCTGAATTGGAGAGGGCCATTGATAATTATGGGCAATATCCAAATTTAACAAATTGATGTGGATGTTGCAGTGTATTCTGATAAGTGGACAGCAGTTCTCAGCTGTAATCTGATGAACAAAAGAAACTGAATGATGTTGACTGACGAGCAACCGTGTGTCACAAAAGCGGAAATAGAGGAGAAAAGCTTGCAAAAAGAATTGTAATGATGTTGATGCTAATGGGTTCAACTTTGGTGCCAATCTCCTGGAAAGATAATTCATTTCGAAATTTGACACTTGGCTTTGTCACTTGCACCAAATCTGCATCTTGTTTAAGGGATTAGACAGTGCTGTAGTTGTTCAGAGAAATAGCTTTGTCTTGGTTGTACCCTCAGTTTGCTATTCACTCAGTACAACCTGTCTGTGTCAGTACTAATTCACTGTTCATTCTTGCAGGTGCACGAATACCTCCGAAGCAAACTCTGCTCGCTATATGAAAACGACTGTATTTTTGACAAGTTCGAATGTTGTTGGAATGGTTGTGATAGGTACAGCTGATTCTTCTACAATGACATCTTCAACTGTTAATTTTCCTCTGGTTCAGTCCCTAATGCTGCTAACACTGTGTGGCCTCTGTACGGTATCATGGGACAGATGATTTCTTTATGCATGTGTTGCAGGTACAGTTTGAACCAGTGCTCAGCACCAGTTTGCACAATACATATCTAGGTTTTGTGTGTTTTGCCGTGTAAGAACAGCTGGTCACTGTATACCTCTCCGTTTAATTTGGCTCTGGTATGACAATTCTGTCACTGGAGAGTTGAAACCAACTTTGTGCTCCTTTATAGACTTGGTCAGCTAACCCTCGAGCCTCACAGGTCTTTTGTTCTATGGAGCATTATTGATAATCTGGCCTTGTTGAGGACAGCTTTACGGCCTTAAATCTCTGTAGTGGGCTTTGGAGAAGTCTGCAAAGTAGTCCCCATTGGATTGTGCGATCTTTTCTATCTGTGGTTGTTGCTGATTCCAGCAGTGTAATTGTGCCAGTCGCCTCCAGAGGAATATTGCTACATTATTGATAGTGTTTGTGGAGGTTAACAGATCAATTCTGCATATTGGCTGGTGGGCGCGTACAGGCTTTGTATCTGCTACAAGGGAGCCAGACTGTTTTCTTCTGAACCTGTTGATGCTGGGCTCAAGCCCCACTGATTTCGATCCTTGGTCTCGGGTGGGAAATAGTAGGAGTGACTACCCAGATTTTTGTGTGGGGTGGTTTGTTCCAAATTTGGCATCGGTGGAGGTAGGTTTGACTTGATATCTAATTACTGCAAGAATGGGGCAGGCAGGCATATTGTCATCTCGAGTTGGTGATTGCTCATAAAGTTCTAGTTTTGCTGTGCAGCACTACAGTCAAGTCCTGCTGGTGGGCCTCATTTGGGAGGATGACTTGAATGTAACACAGTTTGGTAGCAGAATTTAACTTAATCGTTTCAGTCCAGGAATTCTCGTCGTGATTGTTTGCCTGTACCCTAAGTCGAGGGCACATGCACTGCTTTCACTTTATTAGAAGCCAATGTTCAAAAGCATCTCGATCCTGTTTTTGTTGAAATATTGCTTATGTTTGAAAACAATACTCTGTTAACAAGGTTTCTCTTAAGTGATGTCATCATTTAGGAAGTGATCTGAAAAACATGGTGGAAGCTGTGCTCTGGCCTTGATGTGGTAACAACCTTAGGGTTTTTAATCAACCTGTTCAGAGATGTTAGTCCTTACCTTGGGAGCAGGTGGGACTTAACCCTGGGCCTCCTGGCTCATAGGTAGGGACATTACCAAGACACTACAAGACCCTGGTAACTTGAGTGTAGAATGGGCAACAGTTGATGTTGTCTAAATTGGCTAACTGGCTTGTTTGTTGGGGGGACTGGTGCAGTCACTGCCTGGCCAATGACAAAACCCAATGTTAACTTGGAGAAATTGCTGAAATTTGCAAGGATGAAAATGCGTGGCAGAGCAGTTTACGATGTTGTACCAAGGTGCCAAGCAAACATTTCAGATTGCAGAAGCATTCCATGTTTTGAATTTTTAAAATGCCTGTTCTCATGCTTATAGCTGTTCTTTTTCTTAACCCTTCCAGTGTTGTCATGACTGGGTCGTACAACAATTTCTTCAGAATGTTCGACAGAAACACAAAACGGGACATTACGCTAGAGGCCTCCAGAGAGAACAGCAAACCACGGGCCATCCTGAAGCCACGCAGGGTGTGCTCAGGAGGCAAGAGGAAGAAGGACGAGATTAGTGTTGACAGTCTGGACTTCAACAAGAAGATCCTGCACACAGCCTGGCATCCTAAGGAGAACATCATTGCTGTAGCCACAACCAACAATCTGTATATATTCCAGGACAAAGTGAATTAAAACCAGTGCAGTGAAGCAAGAATCCGATTCCTGCTTAGTTAAGATAGCGTAGCCTTTATATCTTGTAAGAGAGAGGCCCAAACTGGCCCCCTCCCCCCTCCTCTCTTGAATCAGTGCCATTTGTAACGCACACCAGTCACGTTATCCACGTTTCTTTTGCTCCTGACCCCCACCCCACCCAAAATTCAGGCCATGTTTGCTAGTCATTTGGCATGGAGGGAGGTTGTCTCTTCGTTACAAATTATGGGCCACTACATAAGCATTTTACTGCATCAGACCTTCATTTAATCCACTCCTTTGCCTTCCATTGTGGTGAGGTCTTGAAGAAGAAGTCCTTCAGTCATGATATGGCAATGTTTTACTGTGTACCCTGATTATTGTAATGTTCTCTTTCCCCCCTGCCCCCGCTCCTCTTTTTATCGACAGACAGCTTGTTGTTAACGCTTGTGACATTCCTCCTCTGACCTCACAGATTCCTCCTGGCCCTGTTGGAGTGTAAAGGACATGAGCAGGTCACAATTGGGTCATTGAGTCAGGTGGTTATTGTTGCATACGGATGTTTTAACAACCAACTGTAATTTTGCTGCCCTTGCCATTTCTGGCACAAGAGAAACCTACTGAATAAAAATGATAAAAAAAAAAAATAGCTCCTTTATTTGGTGCTTTTTCTTAATTGAAATGACGTGTAAACTGTTAAACCCATGTACTATTATTTTAAATGAATGCATTAAAGAATGTGTCTAACACCGGTAAGTTTTACTGATGTTTGTGCTGGAATCTGAACCTTAAGTATTTTTTACTCGGTGTTAATAAACTTGTGCATTTTCAATGGGCCTGCAGTGGACTCAATGAAGTCCATCTTTGTTTTATTCTTCTTATTCTCCCATTGGTTTCCTATAGTTGTCATGTACACCACTTAAAGTGGGTTGATTTGCATCTCTGAATCATGATCTATAACTTAAATTATGGAACTTAATTACCCTCTCTCCTTGAGAAAATGCTCCTGGCCAAGAAAGGTGATGAGAATGAATTGGGATCAACAAGTAGTGAGAAGGTCGGTGAGAAGTTGTGTTGCATTGATTTTTTTCTGAGTCAGAAGTCCAGTGCATCTTGTGGATCAAGTTGTTATGGATCATGTTGATATTTGCAGTTTCCTTCGGAGCTGAGGTGAAACTGCTGTCATACAGTGATCAACTCCAAATTCTTGTAACGTATAGATTGCATGTGTTCATACACTTACCATGAGGTTAACAAGGAAGGAAAGTAATACCACAGTCATCTGTAGAAAGCAGCATCAACTGTGTTCCTCGTGTTGTCGTTCTTGAACCATTTCCATGATCGTATTTGATATTCGTCTGAATGAGATTTTATTAAAAGAGCCAGACAGTTAAATAATCCTGTTCTTGAAATTTCAAAATAGGAATAAGTCCAAACGATGCACTGCAACAGAAAGAATATAGCTGTTTCTTTGCAGACCCAAAATCTTTTCATTCCATAAAGTAGTGTTTTTCAACCGTTGCTGAAACTTGATTTTGACATGCTTGATTACTGTGTTGCTGTTGCATCATAGTCAACTTTAGTGCATTTCATGAACTTAGAAAACACTTCTCTAATGGGTGATGCAGAATGACACTACTTTGGCATTTTCCCATCTCAGGGCCTCACCTCACACAGGCTGTGTGACCACTGACGCCATTAATTTCATCCTAGCTTTTCTGCAGTAGCTGATTTGAATAGAGAAACATATAAGGAGCCCTGGTCAGATTTCCACACTCCATTTGGTCAACAAAGGCAAATGGCATCTGCAGTGCCACCCTGGTTCAGGCTGTTTGACTTGATACAGACAGAACACAGAGTACTGCACCTCTGCAGTACTGTGTTAGATGTGAACTCGTTGTTGGGAAGCATTCGTCATGTTGAATGACCGGTTGGTCACTGGTGTTCTTAAAAGACTGTCCTGCTTATGTGCTAAGAATTTATCAGTGGTGCAGGAATGTTGCTGCCTGTCAAAGAGAATACAGCAAACTCCTGGATGGATTTTTAAAAATTCCCTCATGGTCAGCATCCAGAGCCGGTTGGAATTTTGAACATGTGGATGCCTAATGGAGTTACCTTTTGTGGTTAATGAGGATAACACGTAGGCCTCAAGAGGAGGAGTGAAAGCCCTTTTTCACAAGAATGACAAACCTCACCAAATGTCTTGATCAGATGTGCACTTGGTTGCTTGAGCCTGCTTCACAATTCAGTAAGATGGTGCTTGATCTGGTTACTGAGTGTGCCTGCTGACCACGATATCCTTTGTATTTTCTTCAACCCTTTTTGACCCTGTCTGCTTAAATGGGCCACCCCTTAATTTTAAACATTGACTCCTCATTTGTGATTCTTCCACTAGAGGAAAGAAACTTTCCACCTGCACCCTGGTAAGAAGAGTTTAATCATCTGAGATATGGTGTTAAACATTTAGTTAATTAAGATGAACTTGTCTCTCTGAGGCAAATTGTGAAGCAAATTTTTTTTTGATCTGTTTCACCCAGAACCTGAGCTTTTTGATGTAACTTCAAAAGTAAAATTTCAGTCTAATTTGTGTGTACAATGAGATGGTGTGCTTTTAAAATGAAATTGTACAGTCACATATTACATTGGGTTATGCAGAAGATGTTCGAATCCAGTTTTGCACAGAGCTCTCTTCTTGAACTGATGAAGTCTAAGACAAACCTAATGTTTCAGGTTGAGAAAAGTTGCTGTTCTCATGGTATTGCCATTTCTACATGCCTTTTGAGAAGTCCAACTTGGCAAGATGAGCCAGGACGAAGCAGACTTGTGCAATAGGGCGTTGGAGGGTTTGTGTTAACCTGAACTAAAAGCTAAATTCAACATTAGTATATTTTGATTTATTTTCTTCCATGCCTAGTTTTCTGTGGATGCTGGTTCAAATTGTAATTCTTCACATCCAAGTTGCCACACTATCAGCATGTGCAGTGCAAACTATTCCAATAGTTACCAAAACAGTGGACTGAATAACACATTCTGGGAGTTTGTTCCTCTGCTCCTATTACTCTGAAATCAGCTGCTTCGACAGCTGGACTTGCCAACTGCTGCCTTGACAGTTCACTGTACAAAAGGAACTTGATCTTTGTTTTGTCTGCTGGATGACATGCTTTCACCATGGAATTTAAATGAAATTTGTGTCCTCTAGGTGTGGCTGAATACCTAGGAAGTATTTGGTACAGCACATGGTGATGGTTCAGCTTTAGTCATACCATATGGAAAATAGTAAAAGTTTGGCACATAGTGTGTGCCTCTAAAATCAGGGAGAATGTTTGCTTGTGTGATGCAAGTTTAATCCTTTGCGATCAGTGTTGGGCCGAATGGCCTGTTTCCACACTGTAGGGGTTCTATGATTCTTGAACCCCATTCTATCTGCCTTGTTGTGCCTGTTGCCAGTAGCCTTCAGGAAATATTTTCAAGTTTGTTTAAAATTAAATCACAAACCCTGTTGATGGGTTGAAAACTAGCCACTGGACAAATACAGTCTTAACATTGAGGTAGGCATGCAACTGATACAAAAAAGGAGTTATTTACTGTCTATCTTTAGAAGATGAATGTCTGATTTTGCTTGTAATTTGATTGATAACTTCCAGTTTTTGTTTTGTCTGCAATTGTTTCTTGAAGGAACTTAGTTGAGGTATAGTTTCAGTGCTGCTACTCGTACATTTCCTCTTCCCCAGAGGTCAGTCTTCATGATCCTGTACGGTGAGTATTGATGGGCATTAAATGGATATCAATCACTCCATGTTTGTAAATGCTTTACTGTAGCGGTCACTAAATAGAGATCAAGAATGACAAAGAGCCATTTGTGCGTCTGTAAGATCAGTTAACATAAGCTGGGGCTCAAGATTGATATTTTCTTGGAGGTCTGACATATTTAGACTCTGCTTCTTTGATATTGACTGTTGAGCAATGAGTAAACGCTGTGGCCTGAACCTGAATGAGTCAATGGCCAGGAATAAGATCAGCTTTGAAAGTTTCAGTCGAATGGCTAGCTAGCCCTTGTGTATGATTTGGTAGTGGGAGTTATTTATCTTACTGTTGGCTGTTGGGTGTCTAGATTACTTTTGCATTTTCCTTTTCTCTGCTGAAGGTTTACATTTGTAGGGTTAAACACAATGAAGTCATAGAGTGACACAGCATGGAAGTAGACCCTTTGGCCCAATTCATCCATGGCAACCAGATACCCTAAACTAATATAGCCCCACTTGCCACGATTTGGCCCATATCCCTGTAATCCCTCGCTATTCATGTACCCATCTACATGCCTTTTAAATGTTGCAATTATATCAGCCTCCTCCACTTGCTCTAACAGCTCATTCCATACATGCAACACCCTTTGTATAAAAAAAAAATTGCCGCTTAAATCCCTTTTAAATCTTTCCCCTTTCACCTTAAACCTATGCCCTCTAGTTTAGGACTCCCCATTGCTGGGAAAAAGACCTTGGCTAATCACCATAAAGATGCCTCTCATGATATTATAAACCCGTAAGGTCATCCTCCAGCCTCTTGTTATAACTCAAACTTTCCAGTCCTGGCACTGTTTTTTGTATATCTTTCTTGAACCCTCTCAAGTTGAACAATATACTTCGTGGAGAAGGGTGACCAGAATTGTATACAGTATTACAAAAGTGGCCTCACCAATGTCCTGTACAGCCATAACATGACCTCCCAAGTCCTATACTTGATGCACTGAACAATGAAGGCAAGTGTGCCAAATACCTTCACCACTCTGTCAACCTGCGACTCCACTTAGAAGAAATTATGCACCTGCACCCGACATTAACTGTGCAGGTCCTGTCCTGGTTTGCCTGACCAAAATGGAACCCCTCATGTATCTAAATTAAACTCCATCTACCATTCCTTGGCCCATTGGCCCTGCTGGTCAAGTCCCATTGGGGATAATTGAAATAACTGTCTTCACTGTCCACTACATCACCTGTTTTGGTGTCTTATGCAAATTTACTAGCCATACCTGCTAGTTCACATGCAAATCATTAATGTAAACAACAAAAAAAACAGTGATCCTTGGGGCACACCACTGGTCACAGACCTCCAGCACCACCCTCTGTCTCCTACCTTCAAGCCAATTTTATGTCCAATTAACTAGCAAGTTCCAGCTGATTGTTAGTCGTGTACAAAATGAGGAGCAGAAGTAAACCATTTCGTCCCTCAAGGCTCTTGTCATGCTTGAAGATAATGACAGATTGAGTTTGTATTTTGAATTTCATATTCCTACCTATCCCAATAACCTATGATTCCCTTGCAGAAGCTGACCTCAGCCTTAAAAAGATTTAATGACCCCCTGACCCACCCACCGTCACCATCATCATTATCACCTGACGCACTGCCTTCCAAAATTGCACAAGCCTCTGGGAGTAAAAGGTCTTTGCATCTCTGACCTAAAAGGAGATCCATTTATTTTCAGAAAACTGTCCCTTGATTTTTGGATGCACAAGAAGAAGTATTTTTCCAAATCCTTGTCAAGACCATTGAGGATGGTAAATACATCAATTAAGTGACTCCTCAGTCATCTTAACTCAAGTGGAATCAAGTGCACCGTGTACAACCTCTATTTTAAGACAAGTCACTATTCCAGTTGACAGTATAGTCAGCTCTAGACTACCTCCAATATTGTTTCCTGTAAGAAGTAAGGTTCATGGAAAATCGCAAGTCAGTTACGCATTTACACAGGTGTGAACTGAAGGTAGATTGTGAGCAGTAAATATGATAATCCGGCATTACAGCCCTGGCTGAACATTATTTGTTGAAACAAGATCGCTAA